AAAAAAAAAAAAAAAAAAAAAAAAGTGGCCCTGAAAAGGGAGGTGGTTTTATTATAATTGTTATGGAGTTCCATTCAATAGTTTCTCTGTTCTTCCTAAGAGAGAAAAGTTTTAAAAATTACAAGCCTCATTTTAAAATTAGCACAATGCCTGGTTCAAATGAAAAATAAAAATTTGTATGAACTTAGCACAAATGTACATATTCATTCAAAAGTCCTAATTTTGATAAACGAACACTCAATGTCTTACTTATTGTGTCTCATATACAGTTGTCCCTCAGTATCTATGGGGGATTGGTTCCAGGCTTCCCACATACCAAATCTGCAGATGCTCAAATCTCTGATATAAAATGGTGTAATACTTGCATATAACCTATATACATCCACCATATACTTGAAATACTTATAATACCTAGTACAATGTAAATGTTATGTAAATAGTTGTTATATTGTTTAGAGAGTAATGACAGGAAAGAACGTCTGTACGTGTTCAGTACAGACATAACCATCCATTTTTTTTCCAAATATTTTCCATCTGTGGTTGGTCTAATCCATGGATGCAGAACACATGGATACGGAGGGCCGGCTATACTAATTTTAGTTTATAAAACATAAGCAAAAAATAAAAAAGTTACTGAAATAATATAGGTGAAGCTAAATTAAAGACAGACTAGCACCACCGCAAGTAGTAGCCAAAACCCCATAACATTCCAGAATAATAGACAAGTGGCTGTAAGTGATTATCTAGCATAATCCATTTATGTGGGGTAGTAAGTGTGTGTGGCTGGCACAGTTGTCAGGCTGACTTGACCCGATCCATAACCTCTTCATCTCCCAAGCAGCATTCCAATTAGGGGTGGCTAATGAGATCTATGCAGAAGATTCCAGAGTGGGGCTTATGGAAAGGCTTTTGTTTTCCTGATAAAAGTGGGCCGACTCAACGGGCATGCCCCTTTGTCCCTTCGCCTTTCCCCTTCCTCCTGCTTAGAGGTGTAACAGCCACCTTGTGACCATAAAGTGACAAGCATGAGAATGAGAGCTAAGGATGGAGAAGAGAAAATGGAGGGTCTGGGTATCTGAAACACTACTTAGCTATCTCCAAACTTCTTGATGCCTGAGACAAATAACTTCCTGTTTGTTAAGAAGAAAAAAAAACCCTGATAGATTTTTTTATTGTTTCTAAATACATTCTCAAACTGATACAGTTTATAAATCATTAAACCAACATCCCTTTCTCCTTCAAAAATATATATTTAATCAGCCATTGAATTAAATTAAATGGTAATACCTAAATACATGAAGTCAAGTAAAAATTACCCTATGTAGTGGTTCTAGGAGTCAGCATACCATCTTTTCCTTTACCTTTTTTCTTAGAAGACAGGTGATCTTTCCTAAAGTCTCTGAGCATATTCCCTCATAGATCTCACTGGACAAAACTGAGTCACATGTCTGTTCCTCAACCCATCACTGGTAGGAGAAATGGGATTACCGTAATTGGCTCACATCAATCAGAAGCCAGTAAAATTTGAAGCTGGGCATGGGGCCAGCTTCTCTGTTCACATCTATACAGAAAACAGTAGATGACTGAACAATGTAGGATCCAAGAGGGAGGATGAAAGAGAAAGGAAAACAAACATGATTCAGTCCTTACCTTCCTTACCCTTCGATTTGGCAATTTGACCTCCGTTTTTATCATGATTATTTTTTCTCTCTGTGGTTCTTTTTTTCAATAGCTGTTCCACTATAATAAACTTTTTCTGAACTTCCTTTTGATATACCAGCACAGTGTAATTTCTGTCTGGTAATAATGTTATACTTTATTTCCTCTGGTTTACTTTTTTATATTGGTCTCCTGCCTACCTGCCAGCCACCGAGTGTATTTCCACAGCAGAGCTCCAGTCATCTGCTCCTGTTTAGATTTGGTGTAACTCTTGCTACAGACACCAAGGAACAAGTTATACAAAATAGATTTGTGACATTTAAAGATGCTAAGTAGGCTCAAGGGGTAGACCTCACTACTGCTTTCTAGATTTGAGAGAAACAATGTTAAAGCTGTAAATTGGAATATATAATTTATTTTAGCCACACTGTATCCTCAAAGTTTTAAAAATAATAATACCACTCTTTTATTTTTACTTTCCACTTCACTTTTGAATTTAACATTTTAAAACGAAAAGGCAAATGTAGGTGGAATAAAAATTTCATTAAGAATATATAGTTAAGAAGATTTCTACTTTTTAAACTCTTGCAATAATCTCTTTTTATTCTAATTGGCAACTACTTTATGTTATCTTTACAATGTAGACAGTGTAGTCTAATACTGCCTATACAATACAGTAATAATAAAGAGTAGGCTTAAATTAATATTGGAAAAATTTTA